AGTGCTGGACTAGAAGTGGGGAGACCCAGATTCTAGTCCTCCTTAAGGCACAGAAGCCAGCTGGTGACCTTGGGTCAGTCACTCCCTATAAGCTCAAATCAGTGCTAGGCTCTGTTACAAGCCAGCTGAAACACACACATATGCACACCCGTCACATCATGCACTGATAGCTTTGCTCTGTGAACTAGGCAAGCATGGTGCAAAACAAGTGGCCCCTGCAACAAGAACACATTTTAGTTTTCTTTTTATAAAAGAATGCAAATGTTTAAAAAATCTATTTCATTGCTGAATTTTCATGGTGTAATTTGGATGACTAGCCACAAAAACGGTTGGAGGAATACATGCGGTCCATGGATTAACCACCTTGAGCTACAGAGAATGATGCCTAAAATTGAGAAGGAATTTCACTGACCTACTGTTTCAACAAGAACAATACCATAGCCTCCTCCTTCACACAGCAAAATGGCTTCATTTGTAGTCCGTGTTACACCACCCAAAGTTCCTCTGGTTGGAGATGGTCTGATGTAAGCATTCATATCTCTTGACAACTCAGGCATTCGTGTTTTATCACCCAAGAGTGAGCCTAAACATTAGACAAAGGAAAGATCAGCCATTCAAGTAAAACAGGCTTTTGCTCAAGACCAGAAAGACTGATTCTTCCAAAACAACTAGGCTACAAATAGGCTACCTGTGAAGAGGGCAAAATGACAAAATGTACACTGTGCTGCGAGCTCCGCCTCTTTCATACTTCCATCCTGATACCACACATAGGGGTAGAGCTTGCTTTGTGATGCCACAATACACATTTTGTCATTTTGCAGCTTGCTGTGGAAATCCCCTGCAGATGAAAGTCCTTGGATAAAATATGCTTATTTATGATGTTTTCACCACACACGGAAAATACATCTACTAAACTTTAGGCATTTTTCCACCACCTTATCCTAATCAATAAAATTGTAGGAACTTTATCAAAAAAGCATGCAACTGCAGAAGAGAACTTAATACAGTTCCTTCTACTGTACAATATTTCTTTCATTAATAATATTAGCCAATGTAATACTGTTGAAGAATCACTGTATCTTCTGTAAAGACACTTCTACTGAGCTTTCAGGATAAAACAAATTATACTTTCAATAAAAATAATGGAACAATCATACACATACCTAGAAGCCAATCCCACTATTTTTAATAAAAATTACTCCCATTAACTATGTATTGGCTCTCACAAATTCTATATTCATTATAAAAAGAATGAAAGACGAATAAGGCTTTTGCAGACATACTCACCACCAGTAGTACTAGAGGAAGGATCTACTGCCAGGACTGATACTTTGTGCTCTCTTTCAGTCAGCATTTTCCCAAAACATTCAATGAACGTTGATTTTCCAGCACCAGGAGGACCAGATAATCCTAAGTGGCAGCAACATCATCAACATCATCAAAATTTGATTGCACATTGTATTAGAAAGTGAGCAAATGATCAAGCTAAAACATTCCATGTATATTGGCAATGTATTTGCTACCAGCATTCCATGATCTGTTTTTAACCACAACTCTTTCTCCAAAGTTACACATTTATTTATAGATTTCAATTTATGTACATCTGGCATCCTTTATGCAGCCTAAGATTATGCTGCTCTATTGTTATTGTTGGTTGTTGTTATTATTATTATTGTCAAGTGTTGCTAGGGTATGGCTGTGAGGCAATGATGCCACCAGAGGAGACGGGGCTAATTTTTCAGCATTTTAGGTTTTTCACTACTGGAGACTCAATTCACTTAGTTTTCTTCAAATCTTAAAAATAAAGAGTAAAATTGCCCCATTGTTATTTGGTAATTTGTTGCCAGTTTTGACGTGGAGGGGCACCAGAGATTGCAAAGGAGGAGCTAAGAGGTTGCATCCGACCCATGGATTGCTCTAATCCAGGTGCATATTATCAAATAAAAATACCACAGATTGAATTAAAGGAATCCCATTTTCAAAATACACCTGACATAACTTTTTTCTCTACCTATAAACACATTATTTAGAAGCATGTTTCATAGAAATGATAATGGAGTTTTCTGGGGTTAAATAAAACCAACTACTGGCAGGCTAAGTAGTCCCAAGCAGGCCATTCAGAGGGAGCAAGTTTAGAGGCATTTGAAAGTAAGATGTCTTGAAAGGACATTCTGCCTAGATACTGAGAAGTGATCCCTGAGAGGCAAGCTTCACAATACAGACATTCAGCAATTCAGTAGTATCAAACTTACATCATATTATAATCAACTTTTTAAACTTTAGAGTTAAATAAACTGTCACCATAGCAACAGGCAAATAAGGAGACTTTGAATCAGAATAGCAATAACTACACAAACAAGAGAGAACTGACCCACTCTAAAGGCTAGTGGTTTTCCTTTATTTAACTGTTCTTGTTCTCGGTGGTGGGATAATACCTTCTGAAGAAGAACTTGGGCAACTTCCTTTTTCCTGCTATGTGTTGACTCTATGAGAGTAATGGCTTCTGCCAAACAGGCCCTGTGTCCTTGGATCAGTCCACTGTACAGCTTGTTCAGAAGTCTTTGCTCCTTGTCAGAGAGCTCACGGGTATGCTGTTCTGCTGCTGCTGGACAACCCAGCCCAGATTTCAACCCTTCTGAAAACACCATCCTCCACGAACAAAGGGATTGTGGTGAATTAACTTGTTGGCCGTATGGAAAAGTAAATCCATGGCTAGATTTCCAGCAGAAATTTTTCCAAGAAGGCTTCCTAACGTTCTTAAGAAGCTGGTAGAGAGGAAACCGCAACAGCATTGATGATCTATTCATTTTGTTTCAAGCCAGAGATGCCTGTTTTTAAACAGCCTAATAACAAAAGAAAAACACATTTTTTTCACATTTTCCTTCCTTCTTTCCTTAATTCTACCACCGTCACAACTCTGTGACGTAGTCAGATGATTAATCCAAAGTCACTCACTGAATTTCCGTGGCTAAGAGTACACTTCAGCTTCAGTCTCTCCAGCCCTACTTCAACCATAAGATGAACACCAGAAGACTCTTCATATCAGAGTCTTTAATTGCTTTTACCATTTTTCTCAACCCACAACCCCCAGATTTGAAATCCTTAAATTCAGCCTGCAGGTTTTCCAAAACATGTTGATTACTACACTGTTAATATTTAAGAAAATTAGTTGAGGCTTTGTTTCAAACAGGGCATAAGAAAAAAGAAAATTAATACAAGGAAAAGTTATATATTATTTTCTATATATAGGAGGATCAACATCTTCTGTTAAAAATATTGTATGTCACTGTCCCTGTTCATTTGAATTTTATATTGAAAAGTTAGCCACCTCACCAGTCCTAAATATTTTCAGTACTTCGCCGCTATGGATCATTGTGATTATGCTTCACAAGCATGTTCTTATGTTTTGAGAATGAATGGTCTACAGTCTGGTGCTTTCCAGATACATGGGGCTATAAATTCCAAGATTTCCAGCCAGCAAGACTGTTTGACCATGCTATCTAGGGAATCGGAGAGAGTTGCAGTCATACATCTGGAGGACATGAGAAATATAGACTAAATGTAAAAATCAAATAGATGTTCCAATACTCTGTTTTAATAATTGAATTTCTATAATGAATCAAGACTACTGCGTATATATAGAGGCACAGTAAGCCAAAAGCATTTCCTCTTATCTATCAGAAAATACTGTGGTCCAAAATATTTAAAAGACATTCACTAAATCAATGGAAGATATAGTTGAACAGATGTTATGATGAATATTGAAAAGGTAATATGAAAACATACACACAAGCATTTATCAGCTAACCAAGTACAGAACAATCTTATATTACAGAACACATTAAGGATGTAAAATTTAATGAATAAACTTCAAAGATAAAATTAGATTATTGGAAACTTAGCTAAATAGCCTTAGACCCAAATACACACGTACAACTATTTAACATTTACTACTGGACATGCAGCTCTGGAAATAGGCTAAAATTCACATGTTGGCACATATTTTTTCTAACTAGGATGTCAACACCCATAATTCTACTGAGTTGAAAAAAGCAGGATTTGAGCATTCCTTTAAAGAGCATAAGGGAAAAAACCAATGCTTTTTGAATACAGAATGAATTAATTCTAAAAATATTTTTTCAATGGACAGGTATTCATATTTTAATTTGAATAAATGCTACGGTCCATCCTCATTCATTATAGCTTAATTCTATTTTGGAGAGAAATACGTGGGAGATTTCTATATACATAGGCTATGTCCAGACAACTGTGTGAACCCACAAGTAGCTGAATTCACATATCATGGTAAACCCTAAACGAGCAAACTCACTGTAGCTCAACCCTTGATTTCAGAACCCAGTCAAAGTTCAATCTTACGAGCAATGCTGCATTAAAATCTAGGTGGCGTTCCCCTAATACAATTCAACCTTTGGCAAAGATTATTTGCTTCCCAAATATAAGAAAACAACTAAGAGCTGTTCTCCACAACTCACAAAGAACAAAGATCACCACTGCCCGACACCTAGGCAGACATTCTCCTTACGGACACGCGTACGCACCATATAGGAACGACCCCGTCGCGAGTCTCACATCCACGCCATACTAAAGCACGCAAAGTTCACACCACTCTTCGCCTGCCCTCAAACAATTTATTGGACTGCGCCTGCGCGCCGGTCTGGGAGATGGAGGGCAGCGCGGCTTCTACGCAAGCGCAAGCAAGCACAGCACTCTCATTGGCGTTTGGGGCAGGCGAGGAAGAAGTCTTAGAGGACAGTTATTTTGTCTGCGGACCACACTTCCCGCACTAAGAATGGTGTTTGGGTCTTTTATGCTTTAATTTTTGACCACTCCCTCTTAGAGTGGGAGTGATTCATGACTGGGAAAACTTCCGGTTCCCAAAAATTATTTGTGTGTGTGTGTGTGTGAGAGAGAGAGTGGGTGGGAGTGGTTTACTGAGTGGTGGGTGGGAGGCGGGGAAGAGAGTAAGGCCTAGCTGGCAGGGCTCCTTCGGCTTGGGGAACCGAGCAAATTGGTTGGACTCTGAGGTGAAACAGTCTTGGGACTAGCTGGTATTTATCTGAGAAACTATCCGGAAATACAGAAGTATAAGCTGGACTGGGAAGTCATGTTTAAAGCCCCAACATTTTAAAAGGTGACGAATGAGAAGCAGAAGACAGCCATTTGGAAGAAGGCCGTGGCAGACCATCTTTGCATTGTTACCTCCCAAAATTGTACGGGATGTGCCCCTGAAGCCACCAGAAGCGGAGCTCGACTCCAAGCAGGCTTGACTTGAATCCTTTGCACGCGTTTGCTTGCTTCTGAAGAAAGCGGCATAGGATGGCTCCGTCCTCCCCCACCCCCAGGGCAATTTTTGCGACTATAGAGTAACAGAACAGCTAAGGACGAGGAGTGATGGGGAAGGTGAGATAAGCAGAAGTGATATATATGTGTACACACGCACAATTCAGGACAATGTCCATTTATGTTCTGTTACCTTTCATTTCTTCCAAATCTTCAGTTTCCGTTCCTACCTTCCATTTGAACCCTACCATGTAGCTGGAAATTTTGAGAACTGTACTCCAGCATTTTTGAGGAAGGCTTGCAAATAGTTCCCAGCTTTCTGCTTTGGTTTCTGCTCCCTGGTTGGCAGATATTAATGTATTTGCCTGGTACACTAGCCCATAGCTCACTGAATAATTGTTTACTAAATTAACCCATTTGTCTGGATTTGCATAGCACAATTGATCATAAATCACATATTAGTCTAGCCTTTTGTGTGAGCCCAAATGTTAAACTCCAGTCATACATTGCGGTAAACCAGGGGTTACTAATCTTTTGCCATACCTCCCCTAAAAATCCAAACACCAAAATGAACTCAAATGAACAATGAAAACAATACAATGAAACTTTGGGAAAGGTGGATTTATTGTAACAAGTGTAAATAGTTTTTCACACCTCCCCTGGCCTCTGTCTGCACCTCCCCAAGGGAGGTACACCTCAGAGTTTGGGAAACCCTGTGGTAAACAATAACTATTTGTTTTAATGTCTTGGGTGAATCCAGCCTTCCTCTTCCCAATGTTACAACTTTCAGAGTAAGCATATTGGTCCATATGCTGGAGCAGCCTTACTGATCTGATGTCTTGGGAGCTGCAAATCCTCAAATCTCATCCCCCTGATCGAAGGTCATGTTGGCTGAGAATAGTGGGAGTTGGACTCTCAGTGCCTCTGAGAGTTACCAATTTGAAGAGTATACCAGAAAATAAGTATGCTAATGAAGACTTACCTTCATATGATTGAATGATTGTAATTATCCCTACTTTTAAAATGATTATTCTACATTTTATTAGGACAGAAACCTACATTCCACATCTATAGGAACTTTTCCTTTTGTTTCCACATGTCTTAATAATACTTGCTCATGCTATTTATGAAAGGATAATGTGCTAAATCATAAGGTAGGATTTGCAAGCCAGAGTTTCTAAGTTATAGTTTATATAAAACATAGTTTTGATTTGCATGTTATGAGGACATAGCCATTGAGGTTTGGCAGTTGGTGGATTGATGGATTAATGTGTTGTGTGACACGGCCAACATGTTAGGTAAATCACATGGAATTTATGGGGATTTTTTCCACAAAGAGTATGCACACAATTGCAGTTTACATCATCTGTGTCCATACTTACATGAACATCCCTGAACCATCCTACTATATCTATTATATTCAGCATAGTCCACTTAATATTCTGCCTCTTTTATAAACCCAATTTGTAGATATTCGATTTTAAAATCCTACAAATGGAAGTGATTTAGGCTGCAGTCCATCCTATTTGTACTCAGAACAAATAATTCTTAGAAAAAAGTACCATATAGTCCAGTAGGTGTTAATTAAATATCCTGCAGTGTTTGTAGATTAATGGGGGGGGGAGAAGCTGGGAGGATACATAATTGCAGAGGGTTTTTTTGGTCTAAAAGTAGTATTCATTCTTGCCACTTGATGGTGCTTAAAAGCAATTGACATTTTCACCTGTAGAAAAGATTATGCAATGACAAGGCAGAACTTACCAGTTGCACTACTGCATATATATATAGTAATGTTAAAATGAAGGTGGTTAGTAGCAGAATTGCTTTTTAGTCAAAAGGAACAGTGATTATGTGTTGTTTTCATGTGAATTGGCTGGTGTTATGTTTATTTCATTATGTTATTATTAAACCTCCTTAGGTCATAACTAAGTTCCAGAGCTCTTTCATGATGCTGCCCTTTTCGCATACATGACAGCTACTAGATTTAAGATTGTTCTGAGTAGTAGATTTTGTATTTTCAAAAATGAGGGATCAACCATACCTTGTTTCATTATTCCAGCAGATTTTATGAGAATTTTAAATGCAAACTACATTCATCACTTGATAGAATGTCAGCAATTAAATTCCACATTCCATTTAAATATTTTGTTTAGATTTACATGTTATGCTTAACCATTGCTTGTGCAGCAAACCATGCCTTAATAGGGCTTTATGGATTTAACAGAATCCTAAAAACACATTTGTCACTACTGTACAGCTTCTACTGTCTCCATCCTTCTGTGGACTATAATTTTATTATTTATTGGACTAACAAAATGTCAAAGCAAAAACTAAAACATAGTTAACATTTGGGATGTGGTGAGCATGTTATGGATGTGTATCATGGCTGGCATGATGGACATGATTAGTTACAAAGCCCGTTTACTATATATTTATTCAATTAAATATATAAGGCCACCTGACTCTACTGCAACTCAAGGCAGCATGCAGTATTAAAACTGTTTAAAAATACAAACATATGAACAACAGATGCCTAGAAAAGAATCCAATCTCTAAACGGAGCCATACAACACCCAAGAGTCCCATCACCCACTCTAGCCCAAGCACCTGAGGGGAAGACTCAGTTTTTAAGGGCTCCTCTCAGCTGCACAGCTTTTCGGTAAACTGGCAATCACAAATGTGTTTGGGGCGGGTGGGTGGGCAGAATGTTAACAATGGAATTAAAAATAGGAAAGACCTGTAAGCAGCAGCTACAGACATTTAAAGCTTAAACAGATGAAGAATGAGCAATGATAATTCATGAACACAAGAACTGGTAATAAGATTGTGCTAATGTGTTTAGGCAAATTATCACCTGTAATGGGACAGGAAGGCCTTTTTTCTATTCAAATCCAAAAGAACAGACACAAATAGTAATTAAACTATTCCTGGCTATCAGCTCTTTTTAAAATTCTTATATAAAGAATGGAAACATTTAAGAATCTTTAAGGTGTGAGTAAAATGTGCTTTTTAGTGTAGGAGCGCCAGTCCCTTGAATCTTCAGCTGAGATATTGGTAGTGAAAGGTATCTGATCAGCATCTACAAAAATGGATGGTTTTAAAATAAAGTTGTGTCCATGACTTCAAAAAGATCATAGTATCCTTGAAACAGGGAACCTAAAAATATATGTGTAGGTATGCGTTTCTTCATCTCAGCTGGTGGCTGATCTTGTCCAGGATTGGAAGCTAAGGCCTGATAAGAATTTGGACAGGAGACTTTGAGGGAACACCAGTGTTATAGACTAGATTTGTAAAGTTTAATAAAGCAACAGCAAGCGACTTCCATATTCTCAAGAAAACTGCTTGGTTGTCATCAGAACTTGAGCTTGAACTTTTTTATGCTTCCTTTTACAGTTTTGAATCTTGCTACCGTGTCTCTGGTTATTGTGAATGGTTCGCACATTATACTACGTTTACCAGCCCTTTATTGAATAAAGCAGAAGTGTCTGGGTTTGCACAACATATTATCCCCCAAAACTATGTTTATAAATCAAATGGCTAGATGTAGATAAATATTTAGCCAGAACCATACTTAACATGTTGTACAAACCAGGCATTCCTTATTTTTTTTAGTGCCATAATATGTAAGCTCATGTGTAGTTATCTCTGGTAACTATGATAAATACAACATGAAATAAAAGCTTGGGGAAAACTGTAAAGAACTTTTTCCCATTAAGCCCACAATATGAAACTGGCAAGATACTCAAGCGTTAAGGAGTCATAAAGGGAATTTTGGGTATCCATTTCTGCATGGTCATAATTTTGAACTCCTGTACAAACATTAACGACTCTTCATGTATCAACATTCATTTATCTTAAAACTAATAGGCATTTTCACATTATTAACAAAGTTGCATAAGAAATTGTTTTAATCAAAGTAAGCAATATGTTTATTTGAACTTCAATAGAGATGAACCCCCTAAGTTTTGGAATTAAAAAAAATACTGAAAAAAGTACTACAGCTTGAATGAATATAAAAACATTAGCAGAAAGAAAACAATTAAAATGGTAAAAAAAATAACCTTTAAGTTTGAAACACTTGAATAGGTTGTTTAAGTCCTCCCAACATGAGCTAACATCTGCTAAGTTGGCAAAACACAAAAGTCTTACAAAATGAAACAGTTACTTCTGTTATGTGAACTGCATAAAACTGCCCAATTTTTTAAAGACTGTACAGTTTTGTCTTGAAATCTACAGACCATGCAGTACACGGCAAAAGCATTTATTGACCCACCCTTTCTCTATGAAGCTGCAGATGGCAGAAATATCAGTTAATATTAAGATGAAGCCACTATTAAAAGTGAAATACACACAGCAAGACTTGGTCTTGTTTTAACAAGCTATGTTTACAGTATAATTCTACCTGTCCTTGTCAGCTTCACTTCCCACCCACTTCCCCCATCTATCTAATTTCTTGTCCACCTCTAAATTCCAAATACACTGTACATACATTTAGGAAAGAGCATACCTAAAAATTCTTGCAGCAGTATGGTCAGTACACAGTTTCAGAAGATTACACAGAAGCCTTTTTCCCCCAAGATAGCTACTATTACCAAGACTTTCAAATACCGATGCAAACTTTCCTTTAATTGAGTGTAACTGTCAATGTTGGGTATTCATTTCAGAACACACAGTACAATGAATGAGTCACATATGGTAATGTTAGTGTTCTAAATAAGACTGCTTGAGAACAGTTTTCAATTTACATTAAGTTGGCCATCCCTAGCTATTACAATCCCCTGCCTAAAGATTGGAAAGAGATTACTATTGTGAAAATTGAATGTTTTTAATAACTTAGTAACTTAGTAAGAGCTTTCTTCCTGATCTAATAATTGGTCACAGATATCAAGTATAATACAGGCTGCTGCCAGTTTTGTACATGTGTCTGACTCATACATCCTTCAAGTACATGCAAGGCTCACTAGATTCTGAAGTTCAGAATCCTTTTAAGACACAGAAGAGATTGGGTTATGAGGAGAGCCCATCTGTGTAAGAACTTTATCCAGCCACTGAAGGGGACCATGCAAATGAATTTCAATCCAACATGGTGTGCTTGTGACATCTTGCCGGTGATATTCAGCTCCCCAACCCTAGGAAACAGAAAAGTGTTAATGTTAGCACAGCGTGTCCTGATACACATAATAGCATCCTGATAATACAAAGGCAACAGGGAACACTAATAATTAGGCATTCTCTTTCTTTTTTAATGAATTAAGCCGTATTCCCATATTATGCTCTTTGCATGTTTATGAGTAGTGGATTTAATTATAAAGCGTGGCTTGACAGAAAGAAGGCAGTTTTCCAATTAACTGAATACATATAACTGGCGGGTATGTGCTGCAAATATTGTAGTTCTGCTTCCTAGGAAAAAAATATATGTCGATGTATAAGCAGCCCATGTTGTAGTTTTGATTAGTATGGTATCATACACTTTACTAACTAAAAAGCCAGTTAGGTATGATCAAGGTGTTGAACAGGCCCCTGGGAAGACCCAGATTCTTTTCACCCCAATCACAGAAGCTTACTGAGTGACCATGGGCTAGTCAGACCCATCTTCCTCACAGAGCAGTTGCTGTAGGGATAAAAAGGAGGAAGGAATGCTAAGTACACTGGCTTGAACTCCTAAAGGAAAAGCAGGATATAAATCTGAGAAATAAGCATCTGTTTAATATCTATCTAATTATTAGAATTATGCATCATAATTCTATTATGCATCATATTCAATAAGATATTGCTGATAGGATATTATTTTCCAAAATTAAACTGCTAAATTTAGTAGTGTCTTCAGTAGGAGCATTACTCTCCATTCCACTCTACTGACCTTCCACTGGATGGCAAAGATTCCAACAGTCATTTGATCTGAAGTTCTGTTCTAGATCCTATCTCAAGATAGGGTTTAATAACTATGCAAAGCATTCCGAAGAGGTGCTGGAATAAGCAAAGCATCTTTCTTCAAAGCATTAAAGCAGCTGTATCCTTTAGAAGGCTCATGCAGCTGCTTGGAGGCTGTTTGCGACTGCTGTCAGGACATTTCAGTTGCTGCAGCCAGCAATCCTTCCTTCCCTAAACACAGTTAGTGCAGCGCCAGATTACCAAACAACTGTTGATCACACTTAAGTTTTGAGGAACTCTGTGTGTGTGTGTGTGTGTATGCATGCACACATGCAAGAGGAATTCAGTTGAGCTCTAGGATTTTAGGCAAATAATGCCTTTTGAATCTTATTGTTGGGAGATCCAGCAGTGAATGCTAGCCACTTGAGCCATTGTTCTTTCTGTTTTTTCCAGCTCAAAAAGTCATTCTTTCACACACAAAGACAGAAAGCCTTGCTTACCTTTACAAAACTCATACGAATAGTGCACATCTTAGTGAGTTCGTATACAGTTTCAAAGCCATGGTTCACTGACTGAGCTAAAAGTTGAGCAAATTCTTGGTTGTTGAAAATTTTTAAGCTGCAGCCGCTTGGAATTTTGCAGACTGTAGTTGGATGGAAGCCATGATGGTAATTGCAGTTTCGACTTTGCACAAATATACTACTGTCACTAAGGCACTCTGCATAGACTTCTCCACCGACATAATACAGATGAACTCCTAGAAAAGAGACAGAAGATTGTTAGAATTTTTCTGAAATTGAGGTGTATAACTTCTACTTCTGGCACAAAGTATAAATGAGGAATCAGATATACCTTAATCAACTTAGCAGCTACACAGAGAAAGCACAGTTTTGGTCATCTGCATATACTCTTAGACCTAAGGATTTCCCCAATTATGAACTACAGGGATACTTCTAGATATTTGTTTCGGCAGTCTAAAACTATCAAAAGACAAGAGGATCAAATCATATTAGTTAACATAATCAATCAAGTAGCTGTTTGCAACTTGATAAAACTACAACTTCCTCATAATGCCTAACTGGGGATGCAATTGTCTTACACTCACCTGGAAAAAAAACCTTGTTGTCTTTTATGTAGCTGGGGTGGGGAACAAAGGTCTCTTCCTTGTATATACAGTGGGGCAAAAAAGTATTTAGTCACCCACCAATTGTGCAAGTTCTCCCACTTAAAAAGATGAGAGAGGCCTGTAATTTTCATC